AGAGAGTAGAGAGTAGAGAGAGAGAGAGAGAGAGAGAGAGAGAGAGAGAGAGAGAGAGAGAGAGAGAGAGAGAGAGAGAGAGAGAGAGAGAGAGAGAATGTGACAAGATAGCAAAACGGAATGATGATGATGGCGATAACGATAGCGGCGAAGATAACAATAATGATAATGATAAAATGATGACAATGCGGGCGAGCATGCGGCAGCGGGTAATACGGCATGGATTGGCCGCAATCCTGGCCGGCTTCCCCTATTCCCCAAGAATCGATACGGTCCTTTTAGCTATTTACTGTCTTTATTATTGCTATGTGTAAGAAGAATAAAACAAAATGGCGAACGATGTGTCATAAACTGCTGAGATTTTTATCAAGACAAGACGGTGAGGGAGAAGAGAGAGAGAGAGAGAGAGAGAGAGAGAGAGAGAGAGAAGTGTGTGTGTGTGTGTGTGTGTAAGAATAAGAGTGAGGGAGAGGGAAAGGGAGAAAGTGAGAGAGAGAGAGAGATATGCAAAAAGAACACATCCACATCAGCGTATATAACGTACACATACACAGGCAAAAACACACACACACACACACACACACAACACATACACATATATATATACACGTATTGCCTCATTTATAAGTGCATGCGAGAATAAAGAAGTTTTACGCGGCAGATACATTCGCAGGTATATCGATAGCGGAATTTCTCAAAGGGGTCCACGTCGGACGAGCCTAATACCGATTCGCGAGACATTTGAGCGGAAAAACAGCAGCGTAATAAGTGAGTGAAGAGAATAAATCTCTTTTTCTCAATTAAGTTTTATATATTTGTGTAGAAAATGGCGGTCTGGTTTCGATATATGCGTTGTACGAGAATGCTGAAATGTTAATTAATACTTAATGTTTCGCGATTTATTAGATATCTCACTGTTTTATATTAAATATTAATATAAAAAATATATTAAATTCTGATACGGCTTGATATACTTACAAGACCATCCTTGCTTTTTAATAGAGAGAAGGCGGAAGGGGAGGGGAGAGGAGAGAGGGATGACGTTTGACTTCTTTCTCTGTGTCGATAAAAGGATAGGACGATCGAATTTAGCAGAAGCTTTCGATTTGTATGCTTCGAATGTCTCTGTGGTGGCATTTTATATACGATTTGGCGCGTAGTTATTATCCGCGACTAGTTTTATCATAGCTATTTGTCGGGATCACCTAATCATTCTAATCGCCACTTTTCCCCGCTTGTTGCCCCTTATCTTCATTCGCCCGCTTGACGCGCTTGGCCTCGCCGTCATCTTATCTCTCGGAGTTTGTGTCCTGCCTCCACATCCTTTCGGATCGGTTTCCGGTTGTCAGTCGAGATCTCGAAACACAGTACGGAGTGAAACGCAATGTATGCTTGATACGCACGAGGTACGTTTCGTTGACAGTTGACCGCAGGGAAACACTCGCCTTTTTGCGACGAAAGAAGAGAGGGAAGATAGAGGCGAGAGAAAAAAAGGGGAAAAGGAAGAGGATTTCTTTATCTCAATTACATCGAAAACACAAAACGGAGGATAAGCGTGGCGCGCGACATGGTGTACCTGCGAATTCCTGCCCGTGTATCTGAAATTTTCGCGTCAGCTGCGCGCGCGTGTATTTATCGGTGCATGAAGGAAACACGACACGCGCACACGTTCAAGACGGGTTACACACACTCACACACTCACACACACACACACACACACACACACACACACATACACAAAACACATAATACTGCTACCAATTATTACTCTACTATTATTACTACTGCTACTATTATTACTATAATTGGATGCTTGTCGATTCGTCTGACGCCAAGCAACGGCCCAAACTACTATGTAACGATTTTTATTGATAACAAAGGAAGGAATAAATATTGAAATAATAATTGTAATAAAAAAGACAAGAAAAAAGAAGGCCAAATGACTTTTAGACGCGCTCCAGGCACATCGGTATCAATCTCTTGGATCTTCTTGCGATTCCATTTTTGTTGCCTTTTCGTATGTTCAGAGAATTGACATCGTACACATGTTCCTTTCTTCTCGGCGACAGTCTTGATCGATATCGGCTTCAACTGATTCACTGTCCCGTTTCAGTGTAAAAACTAAAACGGGATAAAGATAACACCTTTATACTTTTACTGAACAGTTAGGCTAATGTAAATTATCATTTCCTCAAAATGAAAACGTGAAACTTATATGAAAAGTATGTTGTATCTTATTGCACCTTTTTTTCTTTGTCCTTTTCGTACTTTGTTGATATAATCCGATCTACTTCCAAATTCCTTTGAAGAAGAAATGAATTTAACGAAAATTGTTGATCTCTTGTCACCATAATAAGTTACGCTAATGTGTTACTCGTATTAATACGAATATATTTAATCACCTAAAAAATTTTATAGAATATAATTTTATTTGATATATATTTGTAAATGAGAGCGCATCTTATATCTTATATCTCGGATTTTTCCCATCTTGAGGCGGAGATTCGACGCGTTATCTGGCGAGAGGAAAGGACATAGATAGGATCGCAAAAAAGGAGGCGCAGGAAGAAAGATATACATGAGTGGGATAAAAGAGAAAAGAAAAAAAAAGAATTGATGAGAGGGCAACGAGCACATACGCGCCGGACAACTAGATGTAACTTTTGTAAAGCTGAAATACATATACTTCCTCTTAAGGAATACTTTTTAATATTCTTTGCATTCGTCTACAAGCGACACATGGTCGAAAAAAGTAAAATTGTGTTTGATAGAATAACAAATTTATATAAAGTGGTGTAAAAAAAGGAAGAAAGTTGAAGCCGTTTGGTCTAAATTAGAGCGCTTTCAGCGATGTGCTAGCGAAATCGATGCGAAATGTGAACGACTGCATTTTCCACGAATTGAATTGCAATCAAGGTAAGTATTATTTTATTTTCCCTTTAAAAAAAACGAAAATTTATTCGTCTTTCTTGTCATTTACATTGTTCGAAGCTTCCGAAGCAAAAATGAGTGCATGGAATATTTTCTATAATTGCTAACGAAGTAAAAACTGCTGGTATTTGACACGAAGTGGCATATATTATTTACAGTTATTAAAATAACAAGGAATACATTTTAAGAAAATTGACAAGTGTCTTTAAAACGTTAGGCAGAAACAAGTATTTTCAACTTTTTAAAGATATGAGTCTATCAATTCCATCGACGGAAACTGCGGTAGGTATTTCCGTGAAAGATTATCGCATTTCCGCGCGAAACGGCGGTTTGCCGAAAGGTTATAACTAGACCATAACTATGTCGCTTTCTTTTATTTAATATCGTCGCTATGTATAAATAGCGTGAATATCGGCTAGAATTTTATTGGATATATATATATATATATATATATATATATATATATATAAAAGAGATTATAAACGAAAAATTTTATCCTGAATAATTATAAATAGGCAAATATTTTTATTGAAAACTTCCTTTTACTTTAATATTATGTATTAAAAATTTATCCTTTTCTGCAAATCATCCATCGTATTTCGATTCTTCCATAAAAGATTACAAAATATTGCATTTCGAAGAATATCGTGGAATATAAGAATATTCAATATATTTCAAATGAAAAAATATTAAGATTGGTAATTTGGCAAATTTGGAGACTGTTGATTCAATTTGGCAATTTGTAATTGTTCGTAACACGATACGTATTGGCCGATCTCATGCTTATATTATAATTACTTATATCAATAGTCAAAATAAAGCTTAAAATAAACTTTGATTCTAGCAGACTTTAAAATATATAAGATTTATCGTGCCAAATGTTCGTGATAAATTCTTGAAATCATTTGAGCTAAAAATTCGATTACCAATATGACGTTTAACCCTTTGTATTGTAGACATTTTTTAAACATATTTTGTAAAATAATAATAATAATATAATGATGCTGAGTCGGGATAGTTGATTGCAAATCTGTCAAGTCGAAATTTAAAAAGACATAATATAATTATAATGGCAGATCCAATACCAGTAGATAAATTAAAAACTAAAACTACTTATAATTAACTAGATTTTATACGTAAAGATTTTTTAGGTTTTTGATTTCGAAATCCGCCGTCAAAATTCTTGAAAATCAAACTGAAGGGTTCAATATAGAAAAAAATCTTTGTTACTTTTTAACGAAAAAGTATCACTTTTTTAATTAACACAATTCGTTTCAGAACTAACGTAGTGAAAAAGCGAATGTAAATATGTTACAAATATAACATTTTATCTAAATATAAGTAATTTTTCGAAAGTTTTAATCATTTTAGTCACTGTATTGGATCTTCTGTTAAAATTTTTTAAGTCCAGATTTGCAATCAGTGACTTCAAAAATATTAATGTAAATATTTTCAGAATATATTTATTATTTTTTCCTTTCTAGCAAAAATAAAAAAAAATACTAATTTTGACCAATACAATTTATGATATTAATACTAAAAAAGTTTATAATTTATTATTAATGTAAAATAATTATATATTTATGTTATTTATATGTATCTTGCGAATATAAAGATAACAAATTTATCTTTATACAAATTAATAAAAAATGTTAAAAACATGGAAAAACTGTAAAGAAACTGCAGCGAAGTGTAAAGTGTAAAGTGACAATTACAATTTATTAAGTGATTTTATCACTACCGATTCATCGATAAGTATTGGATGTATCGATGGATTCGGTAATAAATAATTAGTCATCAAAGTGCAAATGCAAAAACGCCCAAAAAAATATATAAATCCGATCGTAATAAATTTATTGGCAACAACCTCGATTCATCGTATCGAGTGCAAATTAATACACATGTGATTAATCTAAAAATGTCGATATATTTCTATATCCTTTCCCTCATACAGAGACAGGACAATTCCAATAACTTCGGTTTACAAATTTATCGGGGGGGGGGGGAGGGGGGAGGGCAGTATTCGTCAGTGCTGGGCGTTGACGCGTCGAGCGCTCGATCTCGCCGGAATCAGCAGATCTGAGATTTTTCGCGTCGCAAGGATCGTGAGTCCCTTCGAAATAGTAAAGCTCTCGATTTTGTACTAGTTTCTCGACGATATCCGAATCAGTTCTACGAACAGTGCGTTCAGATTCATCCATCACTCTCCCATATCTATCCATTTATCCGGATTCAAGTCTTCTTTTTCTTGATATATGTATATCTACAATTTTTAAATCCATATTTTATTAAATACCGAACGATCCACTTTCTCACATTCTTTGCATTCATCATTATGAATTTGTTTTGAAAAGTATTTTATCTTAAAAAAATGTCAAAACGAAATTTTAGAACAGCTCAAAGATTCCATTTTAGTCATAAAATGGAAAATGAACTTTTTTTTATCAAGTAATTTCTTGAATTGGAATTTTGGCGTAACGCCCTCGAAAATGTCTCTTTCTCATTGACAGAATTTTCTTTTTGACAGTTCGGCTGCGGCGAGGAAGAGCGCCCGATCGAACATCGACCGTAACATCATAGTTGAACAATATCGTAGCGATAGATGTGCGCCATATGTATGTAATTTTACACAGAGTTACACCGTAATCTAAATAGGCGAGACAAGTTATGAGAGCATGTATGATACAATATACATATAAATTTTACGTTTTGTGTATGTGTATGTGCGTGTGCGTGTGTGTGTGTGTGTGTGTGTGTGTGTGTGTGTGTGTGTGTGTGTGTGTGTGTGTGTGTTTTATGTGGTACGAGCGTACGTGCCGAATCTCAAAATTTATATAACATAACGAGGATGCGCGAAGGTCTCCCCAAGCCACATTGCATACACGTGCAATTTGTATAATTGCGCAATTGCAAATCTCGGTGCAATCTTCCGCGAGATATATAATTTTTTCTTCTTCTTGCTGACGGCGTGCGATACTACAATGACTTCCTGCAAGAGAGGTTGCTCTCTCTCGATTCAGAACTTCAGTCTCACAGTCGAAACATTGTCGAAACGTTTTGGCATTCTTTGGCGTCGGTTGCAAACAGAGATTATAACTGCAATGTTGCAGCAACATTGTAACATTTCAACTATATTGCAGAAATATTACAATGTTGCTGCAATAACTATATTATAATCTGTGTTTCCTGGATTGTACATTAAATTGGAATTTTACTTTCGTCGGAGTGACGCTTTGTAACACGTGAATCAAATGTGTTTTACGACTTCTCGTTCCGACACCATCGACGCGTCGACGATTCGAAGGATATATACAGTCCCGTGTATACCGAACCATACATGTTGCATTGTTTTCAGGTAGGTATGTATCGCGGTTCGAATGAATAAGATATCGATCTCTTTGACCCTTTTTTTTACTACATTTATTTATCAGTGATTAATAAAAGACTGTTATATGGAGAAAAAAGATCTGCTGACACAATGTATTTTAGTCTATCGTAATAAATATTGTTAATTACAAATAACAAACAAATTCACTAAGAAAAATTTTACTGCTACAACATTCAATTATTTATGAATTTCACCTGATGCGAATAATTCTGTCGCAAACAAATCTGTAAAATGTATTTTGTCTTAGCAGCAAATTTATATTTTTATAGACAAAGAGTGACCCAAAAAAAAGGTGATTTTTTTCGCTCGTTTTTTGAGCCCTCGATTTTGGGATTGGACTGTGTACAGCCAAATGGTATATCTTATAATGAGATATTAATCATAGAGAAGTTTCAGGTTGACAATTTTGTTATCACAGCTGGAGAGGGGTCACTTATTATATCTCTACGCGAAAATTTGATTTTTTTACATCCAAAATAAGCGTCATTTACGTAAAACTGCGATCAACTTTCATCGGCTGGATTTTTAAAATGCCGAACCTCACAGACCTGTGATAATTCCGTAACGAACTTTGATTTCATCCCTCTCCCCTGCTCCAGCTCTGATAACAATTGTCACCTCAACTTAAAACTTCTGTATAATTAATGTCTCATTATATAAGGTATTATTTGGCACACAGTTTAGTCTCAAAATCGAGGGTCCAAAACGAACGATTTTTTAAATCATTCTTTATTTGGCAAGTTTTTTTTTTAACAAAACACATTTTACTGTCGAGTAATCAGTTATTATAATAGTAAGGTTTTATAGTACGCTATAAAGAGAGAGATAATTTTGCTGCCACAGCAAATCTTTATCTTCCGTACGGCTTTAATTTCAATTATTATTTTAATTTATTAATAAGAGTTTACGAATATTATGAGGCAAAGAATACCGAGATACGCGCTATATTTTTCTGATCAACGATCGAGATGTTTTCGTCGTTGTGATCGATATCGATATTCAATGGGGAAATCACCTTCGGAAATGTCATCAACGCAGCGGATCCTCGCGTATAAGGCATACGGTTTGGTGCTTAGCTACTACTTCTCTGTTACTCCAAGCCCGAATTCTTTCTTACGTTTTTTTTCCTCTCAAAAGATCCTAACCGGCGACAGCCGGCGTGGTCTCCGTCGTGTGTCTTCGTGTTCGCGTAAAAAATTCCGCTCATCGATTCCACATCGTCTGTAGAAAGTCTGGCAGCTTCTCCGTTGAACGGTGTTTCCGCACTCGTCCGCTCGTCGTGACGTGACGTGACGTGAAATAACGACGAGGATGACGACCGCTTCGTAATGAACGACCGCTATAGGCGCGAGAGTCTTCGAGGCAAAGGCAAAACGGCCATTCCTCGCCATGTCGCAGCGGCGACATTAGTCATCGCATTGTAATTCGCTTGTTATTCAGCAAACTCTCGTCGTCGGTATTACATCAGGCGAGGACCTGCGGCCTGCGACTACGCGCAAGTTTCTCGACACCACAAATATCGACCTCGCGAGATTTTGAGATTACGGAATAAATTCACGTTAACGGGAGTGTAAAATAATAGCGATATTGTTCTGGAATATAAAGCGCGTTTAGCCTATAACTTGCGAATTACTTCGAAGGAAAAGATGCACTTCGTACGGAAAATTGTGAAACTTATGGGCGATTTTTTTGCTCTTTTGCATTCTATAAGTGTCGGTCCACAATAAAATTTTTAAGCCTTATACCGTAAGATATTGACCAATTACAATTAATTATTTTCCTCATATTTGACTGTGATTGCTTTTTTTTACTGCTTAGGGTTTAAAATCCTTATTGTGGATCGACACTAATGGTATGTAAGTGCAAAAACAAACTTGTAGTCTCATTTCGGGATTATTTGGAGGATCGCGATTGTGTGATCTCTGATTGTTAGTTGCGACCTCAATATAAAGCTGTTCGTCAAACAGCGTCTCGCAGATGACACTGAATTTCTTGCGAATGGTGGGGAAATGCACGCAAGTGCTCTCTGCGACATGATTTTATTATGTACAGCATGCCTCGTTAATCGTGCCAAACTGTCTTCTTAGCTTCCCGACGAAATCTTGACGCATGGATAAATTAGAGATAGACAATACGATGAATTTAATTAAAAAACGAGGATATAAATCAATATATATATATATATATGATTTATCTCTTTCTTATAAAATTCTGTATTTCCTGGAAGCGGTAACTAAAAAAAAATGTTTAAGATACATATATTTAACCTTTTCAGGACTATTAATATAAACTTAAAGAGGAAATTATCATCTTTTTTTTTCTAAATTAACCAGATAACAGAGTTTAAAAAGAAATCAGTTATACGGTATCAATTCTGAGTTAATTTTTGTAGAAGTTTTGAAAAAAAATTCTTTTTGTATCTGAAAATGAACTTAGAATTGATGACATACAACTGAATATACGAATTCTTTTTTAACTCTCTGTGTTATCTGGATTTTTAATCGATTTTCATAAAATTTAAATTTTGGAGATTTAGTAATATTCTCCCTGAATCTGGTTAAAATTATAAATTTTTCAAAATGATAAAATTAGATCCTCCATGGTAAATCCATTATTGTAAATTTTGGTGTTTTAAAGTTAGATAAGTTTAGATTAGAATTTAGTGACTTCAAAAATTTTAAGAGATAAGTGAATTTTTCTAACGCATTAATTTTTTGAAATTTGGACTGTTGCTATATTGAAATTTTGTCTATTCCTTATTTTAAATGACATTTTAAACTTCTGAGACCAAAATTGTAAAGACTAATCCTAAAAACTTTTAGAGATCATTGAGCTAATATTTTATTCTTATCAACAAATTTTGATCTTGAACGATTAAATCGCATGTCATCTTTTATATATAAAGACATCTTTTATATATATTGTAGAAGAAATTATGAAAAATTAGGATACCTTTCGTTAACATGTTATTATTTAACAATAAGACTTTCTATCATGTATTTTTTTTTATACTGTGTTGACCAAAAAGTATTCTCGATTAAGAAAAAAATGAAGAGAAGTTTTATATATAAAAATAAACCACCTATACAATGTATTGCCTGTTTTGTGCGATCATCTTTCAAACAGCTTCATTATTTCTTTCATGAAGAACTTTTAATTTTTCTCAGCGAAAAATGTTTCTCAGTGAATTTTACAGGCTTCCAAATTTTCAAATTTCTTTAAGAAAATTTTACAAAAATCAGAATAAATAATATCGTATATTTTGCAAAATCCGATGAATTCGATTTTGGCGGATAAGGTGGTAAAACATTCCAATCAAACTCGTAACAATTTTTGGTGAGTATATATAGTTGAAGAAACGTGAAATCTGAATAGAATAAATTGTCTTGCTGGAATACGACTCCTTTTCAATTGATACATTCTAGATGCTTCTTGATAATTGCTGCCTTTAATTTATCTAATTCTGAGCAATATTCCTTATAAGAATTAGGCAGTGATTGCTTGGTAAGAGTTCATAATATATGACATACCACTTACGGGAATACGTTTAAATTCTTTCTATTTAATTCATGTAATATCCAAATTTGTCACGATTGACGTAGTCAAACTTATGCAAACAATTATTTTCTATTTTTGATTATGATATATTTAATATTTTTTCGATTTTTTTAATTGTTTGACGTTGATTATTTTCAATTAGCAATTTAATGTGATCGTCATTAATTTTAATGGTTGTTCTAGGCATGGAGCGAGTTTTCGATAGAAATATTTTCTCCACAAAATTTCGCAAACCAAAACTGGCACATACGATTGTTTATGGTATTCTCATCGCTAATATCGCACGTATATCTTCTTTTTTAGGTTAGGTTTGCACTATTATTCTTCCGATAATAAAAAATAATATGATATGCCGAAAATTTACCTTATCTTGTTCTATTTTCAAATTATACCGAATGTATTGAAGCAAGCAATCTTCAAAACGGTTTTTGTTTTAAATAATGCATCTAATATACTTTGAAGTTGGCTACGTGCTGAAGTTTAAACTAAGCGTTCTTTTTGTTAAAAAAAATATAAGGAAGCCCTTAGATACTACAAGTAGATATCTATTTGATCAAAACTAAGCATATTTACATACATATTCACATTACTCACACTAAATTCATCTATGATAAAAAAGCGAGAAAACTTTTTGGTCAACCCAATATTCAATCATTTCAATGCTCTAATATCTGTAATTGGTGATTAGAATTCATCTGATTAGAAATCGGTCAATTCCTCTTTTAGTCCTGGTATTCTGCCCTGCTTCTTGAATTACGAAGTATATTTATATCCTCACCATTACCCTGAACTTAATTCAATTTGACCTGATTTGACCTGCGAGACGCGGCAATAATAGCATTAACGCTTCATAGTGTGTAACGCTTACTTGGATTATCTTTCAAGCAACTTATCGGTAACGTCGACGGACGAGCGGCAAAGTGTTAGCTAATGCTTGTACCTCGCCGTGACAGATGTTCCGTAAATGCCCATTGTCTTTCGTCGATCGAGAAACCTGTCGCGCATTGTGCTCGCTATTGCTACTATTCTAAATTTTGAGACTGGCCACGAGATTTTGTCCACGAAAAAACACGGCGCCGCGCGGAAAATAGATCGCTTCTTCTCTTCGTATATTCTATTGAGAGGTTATAATGATGTACTAAAAATAGGATACTTTATTTCAACACCGTATAAAATTTTTTTTTTAAAAGATAGATAAATAGTATTTTTTTGTTGGGAAAACATTTTTAATAACAAAATTAAGAAAAATTATAAAATTAAAAATATAGAAATAATGAACAATAATGGCGTCCTAAATATCGTTGCAGTCCGTGCGCGCCTGCGTGGTGGCCAAGATTTTAGCTTCATTGAATTATCCTGAGATAAAAGTAATTTTTTTAACTTTACTTTTTTCAATTCACGAAGGAAATTTTTAAAACTTTGTTTTTGCGAAATAATCTAAACATGGAAATTGTGTTTTCTTGAAAAATTTTATTCCTTTTTTGTTACAACTTAAGAAAATAATTAAAGTAAGAAAAAGTAAGTTGATACAGAATATTATTAAAAGTGTTCACTTCAAATTGATCAGATAAACCATGTTTGAATTATCATGACCGTTTAAAAACATTTTTTTTTTTTTTAGAAAAACGCGTTCGAAATCTTGGGACGTAAATTTTATAATTTTAAATAATTTATTTGCAATTATTAATCTATATTATTGTTGTATTTTTTATAATTTTAAACTAGAGGAAAATAAGAAAAAAATTTTTGTTTTTCCATCTTTTGAAATTTTTAAAATCCTATAACCCCTTAACGGAAAATAAAGAATGGAATGCATATCGTTGTCAGTGACATGTTGAATAAGAGTCCCGAAAACAACGACCGTCGTTCATAGAAATCGCTCGCAATTCGCATAAGTCTGTTGTAACGGTTCAACGAACTCTCTGGAGATAATGCAGAAATAACAAAGTAGAACACGTTTAAGTAAGATAAATTATATTTCTCAAGCGTCTGTCAATTTGTCTAACATTTAACGAGTAATCGAGAATGTCGAGAGGCAAGAAGATACACCTGATGAGAGGTCCTCCGCAAAAATTAAGCTGAACATATCCCGAGATAAAAAGCAATATTATTCTTCGTAGCGCGCACAATATTCGATGAAACTTTTCACGGCATTCGAATATCCTTTTGCTTCCGAGAGTATTTTTCCGCTGAAAATTATTCCCACTATGATATTCAGATATCGTATTTGCAACAAAAAAAAAACAGATCTTTCGTTCATGATTTAATCGTAAACGTAAATTTTCGGAAAAGAGTAACGCAATTCTTTCGTTCATTTTTATGTCTCGATATAAACATCGCAATTGTCGCGAGAATTGCTTTGAAATCGATGGAAAATATTTTACAAGTATACAGAGTATCCCGAAATTTGCGAATCAAAATACCGAATTGGCAAGAAAGTTCTCGGAAAATTAAGTAAAATAGTTGTTTGTAAATTTTTTAAAATTTGAAATAGCAGTTTTTTTAAATAAAGTTTAAAGCTGGTCAATCACAAATATCTTTAGACAAATCGTCACGCTCGTCCGTAAATATTAGTGTCTGCATGACCGTCTAAATGTAATTCTGATTTACTAACTTTAGGCGCTTATACATGCAAAAACTATTGCTTAAAATAAAACTTGATAAATAACAGTTTCACTAAATTTTTCGAGAACTTTCGAGTGCTAAAGTATTTTGATTCGTGAATTTTGGGACATTTGGGACGTTCTGTATACGAAGAAGACGCCAAAATGAAAGTTCATCGATATAGTTTCCGTCTCTCTCTCCGGTTTCTCACGAGCTCGATGCACCATGGGACCGAGTCTTTGGCATTCGACTGACTGTTATACAGCCGGCGGTCGTCTTAGTCGGATAGTCCGAGGGGATGAATGCGAAACATTGACTTAAAAACTCTATTAAATACATATCGATCGTAGTTATCATCATTTATCGTCGGGTCTCTCTCTCTTCGTTTACATTATCAGCTATTTAACCGCAAGTTAATCGTATATTTATTGGCAATAATGTTATTCAATAATATTATTCGTCTTAGCAATTAACGCGTGTCAGAGTGTGGGTATGTGTATAATTGTTATACGCCTGTAACGTACGTATCTATTATACGTTGTACGCCGCGTCTGCGCGCACGCGCGTGAATCGTCCCATTAATAATAACATTACAACGTGTTAATGATTCTATGAACTTACAATCGTATCAATAATAATAATGCGCTGTATGATATCCTCTCTTATATTTCGTCGCATTTGCGCCCATATTCTCGCTCTCTTTTTCTTCTTTTTTTATTTTTATTCTCACGCTCTTGCTCGTCTTATCATATACGGAGACACATTCATGCACGCACATATTACACATGCACGCACGCACGCACGCACGCACGCATGCACGCATGTACGCACGCACACACGTGCGCGCTCGAGTATACTCAAATATATACTCCGCATATTTAATCATTTATTGTTATTTATTCTATCTCTTTCGTTTCGTCTCTACAACGCAGGGGTGCGTTTTCGATTACAAAAAAGGAGGGTGATGGAAAGATTTAAATTGTGAAAGCGACGCGATCTCGACAATTGACGAAATACAGAGTTGGCGACAATAAGAAAATTTTATTGTGGCCGTTTATACAATAAAAAAAAAGCGAAACTGTCATTTATCGAAAACGTTCTGACGGTAAAATAAGTTATTAAAAATTGTTTAATAAAAGCTTTAAGATTCGATTTTCTTAGAAGATAACCTAGCAAACATAAATTATAACTGCAATGTTGCAGCAACATTGTAACATTCCAGCTATATTGCAGAAATATTACATTGTTGCTGCAATATTGTAGTTATAATCTGTGTTTGCTAGGCTAGGTTAACTTCTAAGAAAATCGAATCTTAATTATATAATTGCTGTAACGATCAGTTTAAATTAATTTGGGATTAGTAGGACAAGTTCGTCAATTGGCGAGAGAAGCTCGTCGATATGTCCGTACGCCGTTTCGCCGTGGGGCACGAAATTCGCGCGCGAGTCTCTTTAGGCGCGCGCGATAATAATATACGTGGCGAGAAAATCCAATGCAGCGTGACAGACGGCGTGACGAGGAACAGCGTGAAGAAGCGTTTCGATACGAGACGACTCTCGTTCCAGCTACAGACCGTGACACATTCTCCCGCGAAAGTAATCGGGATTCCCCCGACGATTCTTGCGCAAATTCTCCGAGAGCTGATTAACGACGATAAGTAAGACTTGGCGCACCTCGTTATTTCACGTGAAAGCTCTCGGAGATTTTCGCGTGCAAAATCACATCGCGGGGGATATCCCTTTTTCGGAATTTCTTCAGAAGTTGGTTAATGATTGAATCGGTAAAACACTTGTACAACATACGAGATTTATCAATTTAATCATTAACCCAAAATGTCCGATAATGGAGGGAGGATTTGGAAGGAGTGTCAAATTAATAAATGGGGGACCGAGTAACATACACGCAAAGACTCACCCTATTGTGGTGGACCTGAAAAATGAATGCCGGCTGACCTTGTTCTGAAAGGAACAAAAAGGATAGATTTTGTTTTAATATATCGTTAAGGGCGGATACAAAAAAAGATCAATTATATCATTATAATCTATGTACATACAACAGAGTTCTGGAGTTTGTTTTCTTTTCTCTTTTTTAAAGATACAAGATATAATGTAAAGAATAATCTTTCGTAAATTTGTGCTCTGTGTATTTTTGTGTGTGTGCAGTGTGTGTATTTCATGAGTGTGTACATAGACTCAAAGGTTCTCAAAGTTATTAAATTATACGCAGAATATTATTTTGGTTCACAAATGATGATAAAGATCCGTTCATGCTAATGTAAAATGTAGCCGATCAGATTTTGCGGAGAAGGAGGGAGGGGGTGAAACGCGCAAGAATTCCGCATGCGAGGGGGAGAACGCGGAGGGATGTGCACCGTGTCGCGAGTGCAAAAGGGGAACGAGGTTTGGAGAGAGATGAGAAGACGGTCGCGGTCGATATATGGCGTGTAAATCGGGGTTACTGGACGATACAGCAGCAGGGGTTGCTCGCGAGGGTCGTGGTGGCCGCGATACCCCGCTGCCGTTGTTGCTGCTGCCGCGTCTGCCTACACCGCTGCTGGTGATGCTGGTGGCTCGTCACCCTCGCGCACCTGGGCTATTGGTTCTCCAGAGAGTAGTGGCGCGACCGCTTCCAGAAACCCTTGAAGAAACCTTTCTTTTTGGGCGCGTCGCCGCCGTCCGCGCATCCTGAAAACAGAAAAGTTGCCCGTCCGGGATGTAGAAGATTTACAGCCAGCTCCCCTCACCGACGGACGCGAAGCGTTATTCGAGTGGCCGAGTGCCGCGAGTGTCATACTCATGATTTATGAAATCCGCGCGCACGCGTCGCAGCTGCCACACTTGTCACACTTTTCCTTCTTTAAATGATACATTATAGATTTACGCACTTGTATAGTCATTCAGTGAGTTATAAATGTTATAATATACAAAATCATTCGCTAGCGGCACCTCTAAATGTGACCGAAAAATAGGGTAATCCTGTATGAAAAGACTCGAAAAGGTACACCGAGAATAATAATTTTACAAATTAAAAAAACGTTTTTTTAAGCTTGAATGATTTTCCGCGAATTTATCTCATATTATTAGTCAATTTATTTCATTATTAAATATAAATTAAATATGTATAAAAAAATACAGCAATATTTTATATTGTTTTAGTGATGTATATGATAATACACAAAGTACACACAATTTAAGCATGATTATGCTATTAGTTTTTTAATGTTCAGAGTTATTGTTTTCGAAAGTAAAGTTTCATGTAAGGAAATTTTACATTTTTCTTTTTTTTTTTTTTTTTACAGAAAGAGGAAATTATTCCTCTTTCTGTAAAAGTAAAACTTGTATACGTACACATCTTAAGTAATCTGAAAGATATAAAGTCTTTATTAAAATAATATAAATTTATTGAACAATAATTATAATTTGAACTGGATCGCCTAATAATACAACTAAATTCGAGAGCACGGCTGGATCTTGGTGCCTATCCTATATGAATTTCTTAACTCCATGTTCAGCCGTTGAAAGCACGCCGAATAAATTTTCGACTTGCAATGCAATTAATAGCTGAGGTTGGAACAGAGATATCATATTGATCTTCAATTCTTAATAAATCGATGCTTATGTGCAATGTGCATCTTAAAATTCATATGGAATTCGTTAGGCACCAAGATCCAGCCGTGATCGCAGAAGGTTCGCCCTCGAATTTAGATAAATTTATTGATTGAAGGAAGTGTATCAGCTTGGCAAGGAAGTTGTTATTCGATAGATAAACAGTTTATTTATCTTTGTCAACGTACCGAGTACGTATCGAATTTTATCTATCGTTTCATTTTAAGTTGTCTGTTTGATTTCAGATATGCTGTGCATCGTATATGTTTCAGGTACGTTGAAATCGAATATACTTCGAAGAGTATTCTTACATTTGTTGAGATTTTGGGTACCTAATTATTTACATTATAGTAAATATGTTAAGGACCCTTAATAATCAAAAGGTTTTGATTATTAAGAGATAGGTTTTCTTTAATAATCAAAAAGCCGTAACATTATTCATTAAAAAGTTATTAACAAATAATGTTGACAGTACATATGTGTGTTTAATTTCATAATTTAAACTTCACTTCTAGTATAAATATCACATTACTTGCATACTTGCATATTTAAGTAAATGTTTGGAAGAGAGCTCCGTCTCTCCTCCTGTACTTCAACCCCGAAATGAAGTTCCTTCTCGCAATTGAGAGAAAAATCCAGAATGCAGAAGTAGACAGCCTCATAAATATATAAAGTATGATAGGCACTGCGACCATTAATGTAATTATCAGATTTTATCGAACAAATCGATTATTCACTTAAAATCTTTTCGAAATTTCGCGATTTCGTGTCGCGCGGTCTACCTGCCCTGTAGGAACTTGAAATAGTTGAAATGATAAAGAAAAAAGAATATCGACTTCGGACAGAGCATCATGTTCTGACACGTGTAGGTACGAAGTGTCCGAAATTGGAGGCGGCGAGCGCGAGTGTGGATTTACCACTCGATAGTTTCCGACCGATCGCGTCCGCGAGGCCGCAGATCACACAGCCGACGCGCGACGTTCGCTCGAAAGTACATTGCGCGCTGCATTGCGGTTTCGTTACCGTTGCCGGATCCGTTGGGAACACGGTTTTACACGGCTGACAATCAATTTGCTGACGTGTTAACCATCGGGCGAAAGCCGTAAAACGTTACGCTGTCTTTAGACATCGCGACGATATCATATTGATTTTGAGTATTATATATACAAATACCAACAGTCGCGTCGCCTTTTTTTATCTTTTTTGTTCATTATTAATTATTATCAGGTAATATAATTAATCACTATTAATCATAATTATGTAACTAATAATTATTATTATAGTCTAGGGTTGGTGATTTGCTTCGACATTCGAATTTCTAAGATTCGAAGATTCGAAGCTTCGGTATTAAAATCTTCGAATTCTTTCGAAACTTTGAAGTTTATAATTAAGGAAGTTTCGAAAAATATATTCGTGCAAATGAATTTATTCAGAAAATTTACAAATATTGTAAAAAGAATTAATATATGTGCTCAAAATATATAAACGTAATTATTCCTAAAAAATTTGAAAGTATTACAATCTGAAATATTACAAATTAATAATTAAAATGATACATATGTAAATAAGAAAAGATAATGATCAATAAAACAATCAAATTAAGAAAATAAAAAAAAATTTTATTCTTAAATAAATGAACAAAAATGTAATAAATTAATATAATTGTTTTGGCGTCTTTAAATCTTTCTCACAATCAGCATGAAACAATCTTAAAAACAGAAAATTTAAAATCGTAAAATGAATAAAAATTATTAATTTTTAAATTTGCACCAATGTATTTTTCAAATCTTCGAAACTTTGAAGTTTCGAAGACACCTTAAACTTTGAAAGGTCGAAGTTAACTTCAAAGCTTCGAATATTCGAAATAAGTAAAAAGTATCAGCTTTATTATAGCCACAAAATATGTCCCATTTTGGCAAAAAATGTTCATAAGAAAGATTAATATGCAAGCTATGTTATTTTAAAGATTAGTATTAACTAAAATATTTTTATTTTATTTGTAACAAAACAATCCGGATTTGTTCTTGTAATGGCAACCCTCGTTATAGCTTTCAAGACCATGATTGGTCGAGAAGTGAAGCGGTTACATGGCTGTATCTGAAAATCGATGCACATGCTTGAAATCATCGAGCCTCTGTTCATTAACCGAGAGACAAAGGATCCCGCAGAGCAATCTATTTCTGTCTTCGGTTTCTATCAGACATCAAAAAATTGTAAATGTGACAAGGAACTGATAATCGGATTCAATCCCTCATTTCCCTCTTCGTAGTTGATCGCAAACACTATTTTGATCTTTCAAATTCGATCCACGTTATCAATTACATATAGTAATAGATGTAATAAATTCTTCACTGAATTTTCTTCTCGTTCTTATAAAACGTTTATCGTATTATAAAGGATTTAATTACTTCTCTGCGACGAGCTTGTCAAAATGAGCTCAAGTTTGACGGATTTACGCGAGAGACGCCGTCCGTAAAGCGCGAAATAAAAACGTGACTCACACATGACTTCGTACATGATGCTGAAAATAAATAAATTACTGTCGTCGCCGTCACAGACGCCGCAAGATATGCGATTCTTATATGTCTGCCGATATAGAATTTTTTTCTTAGAAATCGGTCAAGACTTATAATGATAGAAAAACCTATTTATCGGAGTATTATTTCATATATGATAAGATAGTTTACTAGAAATAATTTTTTTCAAATCCAAGAAAGATAGTGATCGTCCATCGGTGTTTTTGATGTTGAATTGATTCCGTTCTCAGACATTCTATCATGGTAATAAATTTTAAGATTGAAATTGTAAGAAGAGACTATTTTTTAACTCGTGTTTTAACCATTTTTGACATTTTTTTCTCAATATAGCAATATATGAAACATAATGGTATATGACATATAGAAAAAATTTTATTTATTAAAAAATATATTAGTTCTGTTACAATACGTGTACATATGTGTCATATAGTGAATTTTAAAACATTCTAGATTTTTGAATTTCTAACAAAAATAGAGAGAATTTTTTTTAACTTAATAAATATGAATGTATAATAATATAAAAAATTGGCAAATATAACGTGGTAGATACAAGTTTCAGTCCGTAATTTATAACAGTTTAATTTACGATTTTTTATAATGTAATAGACCTGATGTTTAATCGCAAAGATCTTAATCTTCATAACAATTGCTTTTGACAGTTGAAAGTCAATAATATGCTTAAGTATATTTTAATTTTAAATGTAATTAAACTTCTTTAGTATGTTACATACGCAACTATAGCATGACATTTTATTGTTACTATGAATTATATTAACTCATTTATATTAAAATAGTTCATTTTTTTAATATTAAAATTCTTAAAATTGACATTTTGGAAAGAAATTTATAAAAATATAATTATCTTTTCTTTTAAGTATTTTTAATTCTCTAAATTTTCTGGAATGAATCTCACTCCAAAAGATTAAAAATAGTGCCACTCGGCCACTTGAGTGGCAGTATTTTCACTCTTTTGGAGTGAGATTCATTTCAAAAGAGCGAAAAGTCACTCCAGAAAATTTAGAGAACAGTGTATATAATAATCTTCTATTTAATTAACTTTTTATTTAGATTAGAATCAATTTGTTTTTATTATGATAATTTAGAAAGAAATGAATGAGAGAGAGAGAGAGAGAGAGAGAGAGAGAAGTCCTGCGGTCTCCGTCACATAACAACCAGCTTTTCCAGTCGGGTACCGGATTAAGAGGAATGACAGTGTCGATGATTAATACGACGCCCGTATTAGCGGCGTCGTGACGTCGTTCTTTTCTCTTCTTTCCTCTTTCTTTTCGCGCGTAAAACGACGTCATAAACCCGCAGTCCTTTATGGAATTCCGTTGACGTCCGAATTATTTCTTTTACGTATAGATAGTCATTTGTCGCCGACGTTTTTAGTAGAGCTAGTGGATTTGCTTTGAAGACTTCGATATTCGAACTTCGAAGCTTCGGCATTAAAATTTTCAAATTCTTTCGAAGCTTCGAAGTTTTAAAGTTTCGAAAAATACATTTGTGCAAATGATAAATTTATTCAGAAAATTTACAAAT